TATTTAATGATGTCTCTCCAAATGTATGGTTGGTTTGAGGTTGATTTCTGAGGAGGGCAGCCTTGCTGCAGGTGCTAAGGGCCTGATTTTGTGAGGCAATGGCCTCAGATTAACGTAGGCGGGCACCGTTGGGTGCTGCCTTCATTAATCTCGTGGCTAGGACCCATGGCCGAGTGTCCGCCTGCGTTAAAGGTTAACAGAGACAGCCAATGTAAGACGTCCACCTCTGTTAGGCGGTGCTGCTATGGCTACCGCCTTCGTTAAAGTAGTCTTCTTTGTTTGAAAAATATGCTACCAATTACTTTGAGTTTTGCACTTGTATAAGCACTTTTCGAATGACCATGGCAAATGTAGGGTCTATTTTGTTTCGCCATGTGTCTGTGCGCAGGTCTCAACTATCTCCGCATTTCATTTTTGACCTTCAAGACTAGATGCATGAATTCAATATGCTAGATTCTGATTCCGCTATATTGACCAGGCACTATAATTCATGAGACTTCACAGGCTGGAAATTTGTGGCTCTGCCCCCTTGATGTTGAAGCATGTGTTTGGTTCTAGGGTCAGAAGGGATGGGTTGAACACAACACTGTTTTTAGGGATGGGTTGGACCCATTTCTTGTTTGGTTAGGGAGTTGGGTTCATCCTATGTTTTTTATTTGGTTGAAGCGCTAGGTTTAGATGGGTTGGACCCCAGACACATGGGGCCTGCATGTCATCCTCTCACCCTTTCTTCCTCATTACGTTCCTCCTTCCCTTAGATGTGCTCACGCGGACGCCGCTTCCCGTGCCCACGTCCGTGCTCGATGCTATCCCTCCATGCCCACACCCGATGGAGATGCAGCTGTCGTCGCCAAGCGAGCTGCAGATGCGGCCGTCGCCATCGACCAAGCACCGCACGTGGGCACAAATGCGGCAGCCACCGCCGAGCGAGTTGCTCTCCCTCCATGCCCGAGCAACTGTCCCTCCGCGCCCGCGCCTAAGACCCACGCGTAGGCGCCGGCGCAGCCACGGCCCGATGAGCCCATCCCCTCTCCCCCAGAACCGAGCGCGTTGCTGCCTCGTCATCGCCGACGCCGCTCGTCCGTGCTACTCTTTGTGTCCGCATTGCTCGTCCGCACCTGTGAGGCCACTGGTACGCTTCTCCGCGCTCATGAGGCCGTCAACGCTGCTCCCTCACTGCCGCACGTGGCCGTCCCGCTGCATCTATGGACTTGAGGGAGAAGCGAGCGCTCGATGTGGGTTGACCCCGTCATTTTGCGGTGCTGGGGCAACCCACATCTATGGGGAATATGCCCTCCTGGGTTCGACCCACATCCCAAGAACTCCCATCCAAACTCCTAGAAAAGTGGGTCCAACCCACTCCGGCCCAGTTGGTACTTCCATCCAAACACATGCTGAAAGGATCAAGATGCCCAAGACGGGGATGAATTGTGCTAATCTAAAATTTCTCACAACAATTAAGTCATACCGCTTAACCCATTTCACCCCTAGTGCCTAATAGTGTTCTCTATTTGGTCTACCGCACAAAAGTTTTGCACCCTAGGTTCTAATCCTACTCTAGCATAGCAGTTCTAAGAATGTAAAGACAAGAATTAAAATGCTTGAAAGTAAATGCTCAAAGTAAAGAGAGGGAGAGGAACACGGCGATGTTTTGCCGAGGTATCGGAGAGTCGCCACTCCCCACTAGTCCTTGTTAGAGCACCTGCGCAAGGGTGTAGCTCCCCCTTGATCCGCGCAAGGATCAAGTCCTCTCTACAGGCTGATTCTTCTACACACCATCACGATGAATCACCCACAACCGCTCACAAGACGACTTGGGTCATCCACAAGCTCCGCCAGATGATCACCAAGCTTCCAATCACCACCGAACCGTCTAGGTGATAGCGATCACCTAGAGTAACAAGCACAAACTCTCACTTGACCATGACAAGCTTAATGAGAAAGGTGGATGCACACTTGCTACTCCCTATGCACCAATGAGGTCCTTAATCTTGGATTAACAAATCTCAACCACCCCACTAAGCTCTTGTTCTCCCTTGCACTCCAAAGTGTTTCCTCAGCTGAACAAATGGGCAAGAGAGATGAATTGGATGAGTTGGAGATGTATTTATACACCCCACCCCCAAACATACCTGTTGGGGTCCAACTCAACATAATTTGTATGCACCGGACGCACCAGTCAGAGTGATCGGCCGCGTCCGGTCAGTGCTCAACGGCTACTGTGACGCCAGCTGTTAGATAGAGCCGTTAGAGTGATCGGACTCAGTCAGGGTCCGGTCGTCCGGTCAGAGAAAAGGCTCTCTAGACCTCACTGTTATACGACCGGACACACTGACTTCTAGGGTTCGGTTAACATCCTTCAACATCCGGTCAACGCCCTACGCCAGCGTCTGATCATCACCAAACCCTGCTGCGTAGCTAGATGAACTGACCGGACTCTACACCGCAGCGTCCGGTCCATCTTTCACACTTCAAATCACTTCTAATTCAAATTTTTTTGTGAATGAAGTTGACTCTAATTGATCCTTGGGTTGTCCCTGAGCTATCTAGTGCTAAGTTTGACAAGTGTGCACCACACCTAACACGTTAGACTCACCTAGGTCAAGCTACTAGTTTATACCCCCCTTAATAGTATGGTCAAAGGAAAAACAAAATCCTAAGCTACTCTAAGTGTCTCTCAACGTCAAACGACACTTAGAACTAGTTCGTCCTTAACCTTGTCATCCATCCTTTAAAAACCAAAACGATTTCCATCGATAGGGGCATGAAAACCATTGATTGCCCAAACAATCACCATTATCGTGACCTAACTCAAATTGCCTCTGCAAAACACACGTTAGTCACAATAATCTTATGTCATCGTTAATCACCGAAACCCACTAGGAGCAGATACTTTCACATGCGAAATGTTCGGGTTCAGAGACTGATTGGTTTCTCTCTTGATGCTCATTAGATGCACCGTACATGGAGTCGGCTTTTAGAATATTCTCATCCAACTAGTATAGTTCCAATGTTTATTGAAGTTGTTTGATTGGGGATAGTTTCAGTGGCAAATACGTTCCATAGGAGTAGGGAACTTCATCAATGGAGACGTCCAGAAGTAGTCGACAGGCACAATGTATTAGCGGCTACTTCTCTTCTCGCCATCATCTCTACATTCATCCGTTGTTGGTGGCTGCCGCTGGGTGGCGGCAGAATATTCAGTCTTGTGAACAGACTTCTTTTAAAACATTTTTTGTATGACTTTTTTTAGAATTACACAGTACAACACTGATGCCCACAACAGGCACGCACACTCACCCTTTTTCATCCAACTAGTATAGTTCCAATGTTTATTGAAGTCGTTTGATTGGGGATAGTTTCAGTGGCAGATACATTCCATAGGAGTAAGGAACTTCATCAGTGGAGACGTCCAAGAAGTAGTCGGAAGGCGCCATTTATTAGCGGCTATGTCTCTTCTTGCCATCATCTCTACATTCATCCGTTGTTGGTGGCTGCCGCCGGGTGGCGGCAGAATATTCAGTCTTGTGAGCAGACTCCTTTTAAAACATTTTTTGTGGCTTTTTTTAGAATTACACAGTACAACACAAACGCCCACAACAGGCACGCACACTCATCCTTATGAATACACGTACGCAAGCTATACCCCTATGAGCACCTTCAAAGGACTGAGCCGGCAGATCTCGCGATTCACGAAGTCACCACTGGCGCCTCGCTGTCGACAAGGACGTCGCCTACCACTGAAAACATAGCGCCGTTAAATCCTAGAATAAATCCAGAAAAATACAAGCACCCGTGACAAGTCGAGGACTTAGAAGCTGGGTGGGTAGGTTCCACCACAAAGAACCTAACCAACTGATCTATGATCAGTTCGCTTTTTTTTACTCCTTTTAAAACATTGTTTCAAGCGTTGGTATCAAAATAAGTTACATTTTTAGACAAAAGAAAACGAATGAGTTGCAGCCCACAATAGGTTAAAAAGGCTGAGAATCGAAGCATTATCTATCACAGGTGTTTTCTCCTACCACATACTCCATCCGTCCCTAAATAACTGTCACTATTATATTCATGTCGGTCAAAGTTTTTGACTAGGTTCCGCCAAGTGTGACAATGCAAAAACGGCTTCTGAAGGTAAAGCTAAAAAAAATTGTTTTGGCCTAAAAGCCGAAGCCCCCAAAAAAATGGTTTTTTTGGTTTTATCATTTGGAGAAGCTAAAAAATCCTGTACCGCAGAGCCTCTCTTACTATGTCTAAAAACAGCAAAAGGCACTGCAGTTTGCCCACACAAAAAGAGACACCAATGACAATTGACAATGCAAACAAAGGTCCATATTGGCGAGAAGTGCGCAACAGAAACTAGTTAGGCGATTGATTGGCCCCGTTAGGCTTGCTCAAACTTGGTTGAAACTGGCTGAAAAACACAGTTCTGGCTGAATTGTTGTGAGAGACTGTACCGGCTGAAAAAAACAAGCCGGTTTCTAGGTAAGCCAAACGGGGCCACTTATGTATCTTGCGATTGATTGAAAATGGAAAAAAGTATCTATCTTTTCCATGTACAAACAACGCAAACGAGGGGCGCAGTAGTTGGAACCACAACCACCGCTGGCATCAAAAGCTAACTTACACATATTCCGGCGGCTATGGTTCGATGCGCATACGGCGTATCAAAGTCCACCAAATGTCATGAAATGTATAAAAATGATTTAGAAACTTTTCGGTACATTATTATTGCTATTCTTGGCAGTGCCTAAGAACACTGGCTGAAAACCGATTGCTGTTCAAAAGTCAAAACGATTGCAAAAAGTCCTAACGGATAAACGGGTACAACCAGCAACTATCTAGTCTATCCAGATTACATCCTTTTGTACGGGTGTACAGCACTCATACTTACATGAACATCCAACCAAACAAAATAGGAATGAAAAAAAAAACACCCTACAACGGACGCTCGTTAGGTTGACCACAGCTACAGAAGAAAACCAGCTGAATTTTACAATGTCCTATCTCGGTCTCCATGCCATACCACCCGCGCTGCTAGAGTCGTAGCCCTGGACGCCAGTACTGCCAGGCACTACACCATACTGGGGTTGCTGTACAATGTTTGTCACCTGCACGCCCTGCGCCGGCCACCAAGCATTACTAGGCTGTTGCTGCCATGCCTGGCCAGGCTGCTGGGTCCGGAGGTAGGCATGGGGCAGGGAAGTGATGGGAACCTGAGGCTGCACTGCACTTGGGATGTGGTACTGCTGCTGGTAGGCGTTCATCTGCTGGACGGGAGGTGGAGGCAACGGCAGTTGCTGTGGGGCGTGAGGCAGTGGCGGTTGCTTAATCGTCTGGTGGGTGGCCTGGCTGGGGTTCCACTCCGGTATGTCATCGTCATCGTCATCCCAGGTACGGGGAGCTTGAACAGATGATCTTTTACCATACTTCTGAACCAATTCCCTCATTTGCTCTGCTGGGCGAGCAGAGGGGGGTGCTACATGTGGCCGGCCCTTGTAGGCATGCGCAGTTACATTAGCAGCATGGTGTGACGAATTAACAAAATTAAATTCAGGAAGATCGTCCTCATCCCTAGCAACACCGGGTCCAAAGCCCGGAGGGACATCATCAGTTACATCTTCCTCTTCGCGGCGGCGCTGGTTGGGAAACCCTGGTGGTGCACCATATGAGTTGAGAGGTAGGGAGGGCCTTGCAGCCGGATTCATAACCTGTGGTTTCCCTAGGATCGACTGCCTCTTGGAACCATCATGTCTGTGGTGGGAGCCGTGGGAGGTGGGTACCCTAGGGATGTTGGGCCTCCGCCATACCACGACTCCAATGAAGGATGATTCCGCCACAGCAAGGCTCTCCTGGTGCTCCTTTGGCAAGTACCGTGAGAGGATTTCCACGGTTTTCCCATGAGAAGGGCACAGGTACAGCTCTATTCCTTCTGCAGGCTCAGCTAATCCTACTCTCTCATCTGAAATATATGCATCGATAGTCTGCACAACAAGAAGCAAATTTAGTATATCCAATCCTCTATATTCTAATAAGATTGCTCCAACAGTGGTGAGTGGCAAAAGGTAGAATTTAACCTGCAAGATATGTTGGCGGCCACTCTCCGATGAACCCTCCTTCCAACACAGCTCAGTTATCTATCAAAATAGTTACCAGGTAGTTAAATTGATGAAATAGATAACCAACAGCTAACCTAAGGCAGAGTGCCCACACATATTGTAAAACACAACACTTAAATTGACTCCAGGATGAACGATAATCTGAAATAACTATTCACATCTTCTAGGACTCCATGAATATTCTGGCTAACAAAGCCAAATGACATTACATAACATGATGTAGGGCCCAGGTATTAAGGTCCTGGCAATTGCTTACAATTCCTACAGGATTCGAAAGTTCAAACAGGGTACACATTGTGCCATTTGCATATAGGTGCTAACACAAACCTGGAATGCAATGATGTGGTTTTGTTTTTAGCACATGATTATCCCACTAAGCTAAGTTCAACCATTGTGCAATCTCAAATATCAAATAAGCACTTGCTCTCCAAATCAGAATATATATAATCGTATATACTACTTTGCAGCATGGCAACAATATCCACGAGGTAATTAGACACAAAGATAAGATATTTTCACCAGACTCAACATATTAAACCTGTCACAAAGGGAATACATAAACAGACTACAGTAAGAAAAAGAATTACCATTATAGCACGGCTTCTAGATTTGGGAAGCTGCTCAACAAAATCTTGAAAAGCACTAAGTTTAACTCTTCCCTTAATCTCAACGAAATGACGCCAATCTTTTAATGATGGCTTTTCACCACTGAAAAGTTCAAATTTTAAGACATGTTAGCTGCTGTCCAAATAGAACAAATACATTCAGCCATTTACACATTTCCATGCACTCAATAGTTTGCAGGCAATTAATAATATTCACACTGATAGTACAAAAATCATATACAAAGTAACAAATATTTAGCACAACAAAACAACACAACCTGCATTCATTTTTAACTTAAAACCAGTTTACATATCCATGGCATATAAAAACTACTACTAGGGTGAGCACAATGATAATAATTTATTAATTTAAAATGTTTGTAATTGCACTTACTTTTCTTCAAAAGAGTTAGTAATACCAATATTGGGTGTATCAATTGGTTGGAAGAATGTGGAAACAGTATAACCCTCTACTAGAATTAGCACAGACTGGCATATCTACCAAGTTCACGCAAGGCTATGTAGAAAAATAGCCCAAAGTAGAATGTCCAGGGGTACATAAACAAAAGAATGCAGCAAGTCAAAGCAAATAACATGTTAAAGAGTTATTGACATTATGAGTGACTCTTAGCTAATGAAATGTAAAACTCCATTTCCGTTGGTTGCACTACAAAAATGTAGCTTAACTTCCATTTATGAAGTGGTGCATTTGCATAACTTTAAACAGAAGGGCCATGACATGAGCATTTGTGTACAAGGTTTTTTTTCCTAAATAAGAGATGTTACTCAAAAGTTCTATTCTGAACTTAATAATGACCTAATAATGGCCTTAATAGGGCCACGAGAACGTCAAGATGAATAGCAGAACATCAATTTGATTTGAAAGTGCAGAAGATATGAAATGCAAAGGAGAATGGGTTAGATCAACATTACGTACAAATAACAATAGTCATAAAAAACAAAACGCTCAGACGGACACATACCTTTTGAAAATAGCAACAACATTAGAGAGTGAAGACACTGTTAGTTGAATTGCACCTTCCCATATGCTCTCACGTATCATAGGGATACTGGCAGCCTGACTGTGATGAACAGAATCGGGATTAGAGACATTATCAATAGTTGTTTTCTTGGCTTCACCTTTGCCAGGGGACGGGGAGGATTTGTTCAGCTCTCCATCACGTGGTTCAGTAAGATCCGAATTTGGAACCGCTGTATGTCCTGGTGACTCTAACTTGGGCTCGCTGTTAACCTGTGCAGATGACTTATCAGATTCAGATTCAGTTTTCTCTGGTGCAGATGCATTATCTTCTGTCTCTGGAAGATCCTCAGGCTCCACGACGGTGGTGTCAGGTTCCTCAGAGTCATTGACATCTTCTTGAGGAGTCCCAACTGAGAGATCAACAAAAGGTGGCTCGGAATCTAAGCCCTGCATGAATTCATCTAACGAAGGAATAGGTGGGAGATTTACGGTGTCCTTCATGTCATCCAAAATAAGTTCCTGCATGAGATCAGCTTTCTCATTATCGATATACTCTACATCACCTGGCATATCATTGTTGCATGTTCTGCCATCCTCATCTTGTGAAGTGCTATCAGATGCTTTGTCTTTTTCTTGAACATCTTCTTTACTATCTGTTCCATTAGACTTGGTCTGATCTTCAACAGCTTTTGAAGGAATATTAGTAAGATTACTCCCAAGTTCAACCTCCACTGAGAAACCATCTGGTTCTTCGACTTCAACTTGGAACTCTCCTTTGTGAGTTTTTCTAACCAAACGCCTAGGGTCAACCTCCCTATTCGGAAGGACAACCATCTGTGCAAACTCCTCAGCTTTAGCCAGCCGCCACTCCGAGAGTTCTTTGGAGGCAAGTTCTTCTGCAGTCATTGAACAAAGGCGTTCAGGCGCAATATCTCCAGACAAGACCCTCTCTCTTAGCTCAGGGTTGCTTTTGTCTTTCAAATTAAACAAAAGAGATCTGCCCTTTTCCTTGTACTTCTTATTTACTCCACCAAACAATTTGAACAACTCCTCTTCAATTCTAAACGCCAAACTTTCAGCCCTATGATTAAATTTCTCCTTATCCATTGCTAACTCATTGGCAGACTTTATTCTTTTTGACTCAGACTCCACATCAGAAGTTCGCGGCCTTTTTAAATCATTAGGTTCTGCGTTAGGTTCAGAGATCCCAGCATCAAGATCAGAAACCCAACTAAGCCCATGACCTTGCAAAAGTTCATCTGCAACCATACACTGACCCAATAAGTCATCTTCTGAAGAAACTTGATTTGACTGTTGCTGCATGTCATCATTTATGCTCATCATCATCTCTGGAGCTAAATCACTGCTTAACTTCTCATTTTCCTCACATCTACTGGGAGCTACAGTTGTGGCTATACCTGAATTGGCTACATCTTTTGATGGGTTTGCCACTAAATCCTGTACCACATCTCCAGCTGCTGGTTTGAAATTATCTGTAGACCCACCAGAATGCACATTATTAGGAAACTGACTCTTATTCTGCTGATCCGAATCCAAACTCAGCGCAGCAACAAGTGACTCCCTGAACTTGGACCTCACAGATTCAAATTGCTGATGCTGGACCTTTGATGGTGGCTCCTTCTGTGCAGACCGCTTATTAGATGACTGGAACGATGGAGATTTCAGCATTTGAACCTTTGGAGAAGCAATTGTCTGTTGTGATTTCCTGCCTGCCATAGATGGTGAGGGTTGTGATCCAGCCATTGCTGGCAAAGATGTTTGAATATTTAGCACCTGCTGGGGTGGCCTCAATGATACCCTACTTAGCAAAGGTTGTGCCCCCAAAGGACGTGAAACTTCTGGCCTGGAAGCACCTAGTTGGACTGATTGCTGACTCATGGGGACAATATAATATGAGCTAACTGGTACTGAGGTTCCCATAGAGAACATCTGCTGTGAACTCCAGTCACCAGGCAATGATGAAGGATAAAACAAAGATGGATGCTCTGTTTGATTAGATTGGACATTTGAAGAGGGTAGCGGTTGTGATCCGATGTTGTTTGGCATGGGTGCCTGCCCTTGCTTTGAGAACTCCATTATGCCAGTAACTTCACAAAATTCTTGGCACAAATAGCAGTGTTATTTACCTCAACTTCAAATGCAGATATCTGAAAATGAGTCATATAAGTGGAGGCATGTTAGATTCATGAAACAAAGAGAGAGAGAGAGAGAGTAAACACTGAGTATCTGCATCACAACTGTCTGAAGTGCATAGGTCAAATTATTTAAGATTTTTAACTAGATCCTCGTCCAAACAGCCCCTAACTAGGAAATCGAAAGCACTCTTCTATGACAAAACGTGGCATATAGTGTGAACCGCAGAAGGCGATATAGTGGACCATTGCAATTACTAAAAGACGAACACGAGCAATGCAGTCTGTTTAATGGTAAAACCATTCCATGAAACCAAACGTCACTTAGAGAGCTACTGCGCTAAGATGACAGCATGTACTACAAAAGCATCGTGCAGTACTTTCGACCTAAACTGAATAGAGGAAGGATACTGGATGTTCTGATAGCTACCCATAGCTAGCGGAAAAGAAATGTGACTCTGGTTCGTTTCTTCTGATAACATGGATCGATCTCTCCACAGCCTAACACAGCAAAAAAAATGCATCTAGAACATCACCAGCATAGCAAACAAGCTGAATCTACGCTCCCAGTCCACGAATGACCCAAAATATTCAATAAATAGCCGAAAACATCAACAAAGAGAGCATCTGCTCAACAACACGAGCCGAACCACCGCATGACTTGGGCGCCGCGCGCCAGGTTGCAAAACGGGTGTCCTCACATCCACTCTAGCACGGAACATAGACACGCGCTGAAGACGAATTTCACGAGACAAGGGAGCCCAAGGCGAAATCTCCCCCTAAATCCTCCGAGCCCAATCCCGAACGCTCATCCAACGAAAAATTCCCCAGCTCCACGCATCCAACCGCGACACAGAGCATCACACAGAGGTATACACGCAACAGAACCTGCGAGCACCGATCGTGCGCAAACGGGATTTGTTTGGTAGGATAGGCATTCACCGTACCTCGAGGGAAGCCGTGGGGTGGGCCGGTGGCGGCTGCCCGCGGCGAGCCCAGCGCTCGGCGGCACCAGCCGGTAAGCCCTGTGGCGGCGGCAGCGGCGGCGGCGGCGCCGATGGGGACCGGGAGGTGGGCGATTTGGGGGTTTAGGGTTAGCGATGTGAGCAGGCGTCGTTGATTTATTTTTCCATTTGCTTGTGGGTGGATGAGACGGCGAGCAGGTCTGTCTATCCGCATCCTGCTGGCTGCTGCGCGCAAACAGCGTGCGCCGTGCGGCACGATCTCTGAAGCAGCCAGGCGGTTTATCCTTTTTGGGGGGCCTTATTACAGTATATGATATATGATAGCTGGGCCTTCACCGTTCGGCCTTTTGGGCTACATGCCTAAGTGGTGATTAAAGACTTCCATGCTACTCTTCTCCCATTTCTCATGCATCCTTTTTCTTCCTCAAGTGTGCGTTTATATGCATTTATCGGTGTTTACCTTCGTCCGGTGACCATGTAGAAAAAGAAAGGGTGAAGCCTAAAATCTCTGTTGAGTATACGAGAAGCACTGAATTTTGAATGTTGAGTATATGTGGCAAGAATCTCTTTGTCATACGCCTTCCTAAAACTTGAATAATCTATTGATATCTCTATCTTCTCCTGTCCTACAGCTAAAAAGAAAGAAAGTAAGACCACCGTTTCGTACCACAGTCGTCGCTCCATCGGTCCGCCCCTCGCCCTTGCGATACCGCATCACGCGCTCCCCTCCGCCTCCTCCTCCTCCTCCTCCTCCCCCTCGTGCCCTTGGTCGTCGGCGCATGTCCCCCCGGTCCGCCTCCTCCTCCTCCCCCTCGCTGCCTCCTCCCGCCGGTTCGCGCGTGCTCGACGAAACCCTAGCTGCTCCTTCGTTCGTTGCTGCCGGCAAAGATCGTCTCGACTCATCATCTCGATCCGGCGATGCCGCCCTTCTCTTCTCCCTCGTCGGGTGGCGGTGGCATCCGTGTTGCCATGGTCCTAGAGCATGTCGTCATACTGCGCTTACACGCGCGCTTGCCATTGCCCCTGTCATTGGTGCGCGCTATGTGCTGTCGTCGGAGGAGGCAAAAGTGATGATGAAAGAATAGCAGCGATCACAGCGTCATGGCGCCCTCTAGCCTCCTCGCCTACTTACATTTGGTGGGCTCTGTTGTCCTTCCCCTGCTTTGGGGATTCCTTTGGAATTTTTTTCCCACAATTTTTTTGCCAATTTCTTGGTTAAATCGATGTATCTGAACTATGTGTGCTCATGGACAGCGGCATTGGTCTAGAACATGAAGTTGAAGCCGGGCATGGGTCCAGCAGAGGTGTGGATGGGGAACGAAATGATGCCATGTCAGGTGCTCCTCTTGGTTCTCAATCGAGGTGTGGATGGGGAACGAAATGATGCCATGTCAGGTGCTCCTCTTGGTTCTCAATCGTGCCTTGCTTTATCAACTTTACTTTTAGGCGTGTTTTTCCGTTTTTACTAACTCAATTTTGTTCCATTTAATTTCACGGCAATGGAAATGCCCCAGCAAAAAAATATATTAGAATATAGAAATGGTCGCTCTAATCGTTTGTTGTCCATTGTAATTTAGTGTACCCATTTTGGCATGCTTTCAATGGTTTGTACAGTTATTTGCTATTAACGTTGCAACATGATCCTTATCTTCTCACTATGAATATTGCAGTACTACCTGTATTGTTGTCGTCAAAACTGCTCGCTGACATGGAAGTTGACGAAACTATGGAGAGGGAGTGACTCTTGACTGGAATAACTAATCTACCGGTGCCTACACAGTTTCAAAAATTAAAGGTGACCAATTTAGTATGAAGAATGAAAACCTATAGTATGTGTTGCCATCTTCATTTCTCAGCTATCTAAATTAGAATGAATCTGGCATCGTTCCTTCGAGGTTAGAATAGACATAATTAGAAATGCATGTGAAACTGCTGACAAAATAATTGTTGAATTCCGTAAGAGCTATGGGTTGGGAACCCGTCACGGGTTCGTTCTGTTTGTCATGACATAAATCATCTCCCCATGGTGTTCGTAGGATAGTTATATATCATAGGAAATGGCAAGAACCAAACTCGTATAAATGTTTGGTATTTCATCTCGATTTTCAAATTTGTTGCCTTCATACTACTTGCAGGCATCAGGAGGATAGTTACTTCTTTGTCTATCTTCGTATTTTACCTCTTTAGTCACTCTGCATAATTCTGTTCCTTTTTTTAGCGAGACAGCTTCGACATACCTATCTTATGAACCAATAATTAATATACATCATTCACCCCATATGATGACCCTACAACAAACTGTCGATATGCACTTACCTTCATGTAATCAGTGTTAATGCTATATTTGTTTGTGTGACAGTTATGTTCCGAATTTTCTGTGTTTCTTTCGGTACAAAAAAAAGTTTCAGGTCAAGGTTATAGCGGCCTTTTCCATTTCCCTTCATTGACTTGATGTGTTTGATACAAATGTGACTGTGACAGTTTAACAAAGGCCATATCTAAGATTCAATTTTAGAGACCTATGCAGTGCCTTCATGAAGACGTAGAGTAAGGTACAACCACCTAAAGTAGATCTTTCTAGAGTTCAACTATGCAGAGCAAAACCACCATATTAGTTCACTGATTCATACCTATTGTGACCTATCAACTGTCTCAAACATGACCCATCCTGCTACACATTATTGCAAACTATCTGTATGTTAATCAGTCAGTTCAAAAAAGGAAGATTGGATTTGAACTCTTGTAGTGTCACCTTTGTTTCCTTATGAACACAACAAAATATCCCAACTTTAGACTTCCAATGTGCTGCTTACCGAAACGCTAGACTTATTTTCATAAATGACTGCACATTTTGATTTATGTCATGTAATAGATAACATGCCCTGGATCACCAAACTTTATATCATTCAGAATAGTAGCAATAATCTTTTTGCTAATATAGAGTAGTAATTCTTACATCTGTTATTTTTGTCGTCACTTATACCTGCAACATCTAAATATTTGTTAGTTCGTCAATTCATGTAGGTTAAGATTTTCAAAGGCAACAATGAATGAACATTCAGACAAGGTCGAAGAACTTGCTGCAATGCTTGCTATTGAAGTGGTATGATTTTTTGTTGTCCTGCTTTATCTCCATACTGGTCACTCACTACCTAGGTAATAAAAAAAGAGGGTTACCAAACTCTTATGAATATTGGTATGAGTGAGCCCTATTTTGCTAATTCCTTTGTGTTTTTTACTTTATGGCACAATTTATTTGCTAAATTCCTTCCACTACAAAGCTTCTGCTGCTGAAACAACCAGATAGATTGCAGCTACTCCAGCACCTGTACTTGGCATAAGAGATGGTTAAGGTCATTTTGCAAAAAACCAGCCAAATGATTTCTATCAACGATACAATCGATTCTGCTGGAATTTCGGTACAGACTGTCTACAATTTCGTGTTAAGACAAATTGTTAATGATTCGATATGTGCACAAAAAACTAAATAGCTTCTATTTGGCAACCACATATTGTTAAAGAGAACCACTGATAGTCCCATACATACAACGAATCTATGTGGAATGCCTTCTGAAAGCTAACCATTTAGAAAACCCTGTCTCCTATTTTTACATGAGAGTGCAAATGGTAGTACTTATCATATCTAACAGTAAACAGGTAATCCAACCAACTCCCACACTGATTTTTTTTTTCAAAGTTTAGCACATTTGTTGTCCAACAATAATATGCCTATTTAGATATGATCGCTTCAGAGTTTTTTTCCTTCTCCTTTTCCGTGTCTTTATATGGTCTGCACTTAATCTAAACATCCTATTTCAACTATGCAGGACAAAGGAAGCGCTGAAGAAACGTATACAACAAAGGCTACTCAAACCGCTCCCAAAAAAAACATGCCTCCTTCACAGAATCCCCCACGAAGAAGTAAGATCCTCAAACGTTATAATACACAACTGCATACTATGGTACAGGCAAACATATA